TAATGATTTGAAATCTATTCACATGATTTAACATGTATTATTACCCTCCCGAAAACTAACATGCACTGTGCACCCTGAAAGCCTCTGGTCTGTAAAGGAAAACAGTCTTTGAGGGTGCCATTCTCAGGGTCCATGTTAGTTTGCAGGCGTGTATTGTCTGGTGAGCTGTGCGTGCGTGGCGTCTTATATTTCTTTGTTTGCCGGTACCCAAAAGTCGATTGTACAAAAGCATTGCCTTAAAGGCATTGCCATAGCAGTTGCCCTTTGTTGGGTCTTGACTCAGTCTTGACTCAAAAGCAACACCTCACTTGCCGGGTGTGGCTCTTTCCCGCTCTGCACGTGCCTTCCAGCACTTCTCCCTTGGAGTCACCTGAGTTTGGTGAGACATGCAGAAAAAGTATGGGCCGGCCCAGGGGGATCCAGCAGGGGGCGCATGACCCCACAAACAGTTCACAAACCGTTCACATTGGCTGCAAACTGTTTGTGGATGTTTGTGGAGTTCACATTGGCAAATGTGAACAGCAATCAACACATCCAGGCTGCACAATAAAGACCCTCAAAAGGCCTGAAAACACCTCAGCCAAGCCGTCCATCCGGGCACACGGCAGTCCCCTCCATCCCCCTGTGGCTGTGACCCCGGGGTCCGTGTGGGGCCTTTGGAGGCCATCGCTACTATATAGTAACAACTTAAAAACTTTCTGGTAAATAGAAGCTTGCTTGAAAACCCACAGCCAGATACCCTGCACGGCTAAATACCAAGTAGAACGACACATATTTGACACTGTTGCTGTCAGTCGGGGCACTGTTTTGCATCAACATGTTTAAATCAGCACATGATAGCACATGTGAGACATTCCACCAATCGAGGTAAAATAGACCCATGCATATATCAGACTGACTTCAACGGAGAACAATTATCCTGCCTGTTACTATTCATTCACCCCATCCATACAATTGATTCCGATTGATCTTCTGCTGCAGCTGGCGTCCTGGGACTTCTTGGGCGACCACATCAGCTCGCAAGGGTGATGTCAAACACAACTTCCTTCCACGCTTACTGTATTCGTCCTCTGTATATAGATCCAAGTCGTTACCGCAACGTGCACGGTCCAAAAACCGAGGCTAAACCATGTGGGATTCCTGCAAACGACGCTCACACAATCATCCACGAACAGTCACATTGATTCAAAGAGACGCGTCCTTTTTGGCCCTCGATTCCAATTTGGCGTGCCAGCCGCATAAGAGTTCGGACCAAGGGTCGAATCAATAACTCATGCACGCCAGGTTGCCTGTACATGGCTGAAGACTTGCCTTCGCAGGTGGTGGTTTGGGCGAGCCACGTACTTGGGCGTCCACAGCACGCATGGTCGAAAATGATTCGACTCGTTTAGGCCGTATAGGGAAAGCCTATCATCTCCACAGTGGGTATCCACAAAACACACTCCAGTCCACAACAAACCCGTCTCCATTTCTAGCTGGTCTCAGCCATACCTCTGAACGTTTTTTTAAGAGAAGCATCCGAGGAAACGGCGGGGGTTTGATGGTGAACGGTGAAGTTCTTTGCCTCAGCCGCCCCAGCCGCTTCGTCGCTTCGTCGCCCCACTGTTGGCGAGAAACTGTGCCCGGTTTTCAGCCCACCAGCTGTGGTGACGCTGTAGTGTGCTCGACTCCATGCGGAATCGTGATCGTTGAACATCGTTCGTCTGAGTTCCACAAGCTAGCGTGTCCCAAGTAACTCGTTCCTTCTTCCGGGTAATGTATGAGGCAACCGAAAAAAACCCACTCACATATTCCATCATATTCCATCAAATCTGTGAGTCCCTATAGTGCACCACCAACTGAAATCTATTGAATCTATTAATGAATGCAAATAGCGACAATGGAATAGCAACCCCGATGAAGGTCTCGCAGGTGAACACAAGCCACGACACCACCATAATTCCGGTTGATATCAGCAAGGGCTGGATAAAGAACACAACAAGTGCACAACTTAAGAAATGCACAAAATTGTCCAGCCAGAACAACAAACCATCACAAACCATATGGAAATACAACCTATACACATGGCTCCAGCTTCACTTCTGTTGCGCACCAAAACAAAGAATATTGACCAACAAAAACAAACACGCGCACAAACAAAACTGCCTAATAGCGAGTGGAAAAAAACAACATGACACACTGTCAAAGAGAGAACCTGATACCCGTCATCCAACATAATCCACACATGGGCGTGGGGAAACAAGCCACGCTTCTAGAGCACACTGGCACTGCCCCAGTGCGACGCCAGGGCGGGGCGAAACTTCTGGTTAGGCCGGCAGCGGATCACCTCTTGGCTCCCTACCGATTATTGCGCATGTCTGACGTACAGTATATTTTAATTCGATGGCATTTCCTGGTCAAACCTAATTGCATGAGGTGCACGGTGTCGATTGAGTGCGGGAATTCTTGTATGATGAGATCGGATGAGGGATGCACAAAAGGAACTCGACGTGTGACGTGGGTCCCGTGGTTACTTCTGGTCTGTTCGCGTGCCATCTCAAACTTTTGCAGTCATCACACATGGCCCCTGACCGAAAATGACCAGCACTTTGGAGAACCCTCATCAACTCAGAAAACAAACTGAGGAACAAAGATCTGCTGACCCAAATGTCATAGAGAGAACAAAACGGAGAAGATGTCAAGGTTCAAATCTTTGCGGGAAATCAGCTGGCTAAACTCGTTGCGTCTCCTGAGAGCATACGATCCTTGCAAGATCTGCACTGGCACTGGAACCCTCAATCGCACAGACCAAGCAACCACCGACCGGCCGTCTTGCTCGAGCTGTGGTCACATATGATCTCGAGGAATCTCGACTCAATCGTCACCCACCGGTATACGGTCGTGGTGATCTGTCAGATGGGGTACATTCTGCGAGTTGGGAATGGGTAAAGCCTGCCAGTCTGATTCAAATCAGGCACCCGCCTAGAGTCCTAGAGCGACCTGCCCACTCCGAGAGGTGATGGAAGGAAGAAGGAAGGGCATGGAGGATCCTGACAACTGACCTCGCAATTGTTTTGGCATATATATGTTCTGACACATCTTCTCTGCACATCTTCTGACATATGTTCTGATATGTGCTCTGACACGCATATATATATTAATATATATATATATCTTAAATAAATATATATATATAACTATATATATATGTACATAATTATACATATATGATCATATATGATGTCCCGGCAACAAGTCTGGCATAAATACGGTTCTGACGCGTCTTCTCGCATGAGTGCTCTGACATGCATTCTGACACCTGTCCCGGATTCCTGTGTGGCGGCACATCGTTCTTACGAATGGTTCTCGCACGTGTTCCGAGCCTCAGATCAAAGGAGTGCGACAGAAAGGAAGAGGACCAAAGGAGCGAGGAGTAGACACCCGGGGCTCTCTGACAAGTGGGGAAGAGCAACCTGGTGAAGGTTGCAACCCCTGAAGATCTGTGTTGTGGGAGATGTGTCTGCATCATGATGATCGATTCGATCCCGTTCCTGTAGAAACTGGAGATTCGCATGCGATTGAGCCGAACTGCAAGCATTGGCCAAGGTAGCCCAAAGATTCTGTGACACTGGCAACAGTTTTGGGAGTCGAACACCCAAGCCTGTCAACAAACGCCCACCAGTGGATGGACTGGCTGTGGCCATGGATGCCCGGGTGCGAGGCACCAATCATGCCGTGAGCTGGGAGTCATTAGAGAACATTCATGGAATGGATCATAGCCAAATCTCTGTTTTGTTGCTTTCTGGTAGAGGCCAGGCCGGTGCAGTAGACTGAACATCCTTCTTCAAACAATGTGATTTTTCTCTTCCCAGCTCCACCGCAATGATGTTCGGAGCAAATGCCATGGGACACTGGCCTTCAGTGTCAGAAATTGTGCAAAAACATACTATATATTATAATCCATCGCGTGAGTTTTCGTGCAGTGCACCACGCAGAAGTTTTCGATGTCATCGCGACATGCCAAATATTTGAATTTTTCGTGCAGTGCAGCTGCTTCAGACTTTTCGCCGGAAACATTTGCTGCTGATCCACTCTGGCAACGAAGGTTCCTCTGTTCGATGGGCGCAGTGCCCCCTGAGCCATTTGCAATCGCTTCAAGCTACAGCATTAAACAGTTTGCTAGAAAATCGAGAAGGCTTAGCTTAGCTGTAGAGGACTCTTCAAATGACAACATGATGCTCCCAGCAAAACGGCTCATCTTAGGTTGACACTGATGCATCCTTCGTGCCGGAACAGGAACTTTGTGGATCACAGGAACTTTGTAGATCCTAGCAGGCGGCCCTCGGACATTGAAGTGGCAGGCGCGTACCTGGGCCTCATTCGCCAGGAAAAATCGTGTGGACTCTGCCACTGGATGCGGGCTGGCCGCCAGGCTCTGGCCGCAGAGGAAATCGCGAAAATGGCTTTGCCACCTTCGAAGGCAATCATCTCCAGGCCTGAGGAAGAGTTTGTGATAGTTTGTGCTTCCTGGTCTTCCCCGCCAGTCTAGCAGCGAGCGAGTGAGTAGAGCTGACCCGATTCAAATGCCCTTTGATCAAGTGCGGTTCTGAAGTGCTACTACTACTCCTATTCCTACCACCACTTTTGCAATATCACTCTGGGAAGCCTTCAAACGGCCGGTCCGAATGGGTGCTTGTCGTCCAATCTGAATGGTCCCCAAAGTTAACCGCTTGCCGCCCTGTCCCACACACAATGCGTTGGTGGTCTCTCCATTCAATTCATCGAAATCGAATGCAACCAAGTGAAGTCTGCGGGTCAAACTCTGACGGAAGCACATCGACCGTCGACGAAGGGAAGAAGGCAAATCAGCCTTTCTGGCGATCCGCACTTGTTCCCCATCCGCAGCGATGATCGTTCGCACCTTTTGAAGGAGTTGGGGGCCAATGAAACCGTCATCTGAGTCGGGGAAGAAGGTAAACAATGGTAAACATTTCATCATATGTCATTTTACAATTTTTTTTAACCAGTTCACCACGACTTTGATGTTCTTTTCCGTCCTGGGCCCGAGGGAACTTCGAAACAGGATGGGCCCAGGTTAACGGACAGGCCCCCGGTCTCCGCTTGACTTGGATGATTGCAAGCGCTCCCGCCTCGGTGGGTGCGGCGAAGCAGGGTTTGTTCCAAGCATTTGGGGCGTGCAGTTGCCGGATCTAAAAACATGGAAAGAACAACATAAAAATACGAAAACCAATTTGGGCAGTGCAAACTGCTGAACTGGTTTGTTTATCTGAATAAATTAAACATTGATGCCATGTCATGAAGTACTTGGCATTTTGACACCAAACACCCTTCAAGTGTTTGAACCATTGGCATATTCAACGTCATGAAAAACAAAGGTGAACAATAAGAATACGCAAGTACCTTCGAAATAGACCAACGTCGGTAACAAACAAAATTACACTTTCGATTCCAATCATCCACTGGGCCCTACGCCCCGACCGTCTAGCAACAACCCACCCCATCCTAACCGGTCCATCACGGCATCTGCGTGCCGAGTGTCTCGATTGCCGCGGTCAGATTCTTAACCCGTTGGCATTCAGCGCTGCCATCATTTTGCAACTTTTGCAACACCACGTGGAGTTGCTGCCTGGCCACGACCGGAGGCCATCGGTCGCTGGATGCGTTGTGGGGGGTTGGTGAAAACGACCTGCCTGGAAGGGAAACGGACCTCAACATCCCCCGTGGGTGGACTGCTGGGTGCTTTGCTGGTCAGTATTTAGCGAGCTGGCCTCTAAAGGATGAGTGGCAAAAGATAGAATCTCTAGAAATGGCAAGCAAAGGTGCTTGCGGTGTTTATATAAAGCATTAAAATGCCAAACCAGATCCAGCTGTGGCTAAGGACCAGTGGAAGAACATGTATTATAACGCCTTATGAAATGACAAGCGCAACATCCAAGAAGCAGAAAGAAGAGGCATCTATAAAATGAACATCCAGACGAATGGGTAAAAGATGTTGGGAAACCCGCTTTCACTAAAACATGACAATACTGGATCCCCAAAAAACATAACAAGATGGAGCCCACGAACCCGAATGCAAACACGTTCAAAAAACTACATATGTCCAAATGACACTCTTGTAGGACACTCTTGTGGGACACTCTTGTGGGTCACTCTTGTAGGAAACTTTTCTGGGACACTCTTACGGGACACTCTTGTGGGACACTCTTGTGGGACACTCTTGTAGGACACTCTTGTGGGACACTCTTGTGGGGCACTCTTGTGGGACACTCTTGTGGGACACTCCTGTGGGACACTCTAGTGTCCCACACTGTTGCGGGACACTCTTGTGGGACACTCCTGTCGGACACTCATTTGGGACACTCTTGTGGGACACTCTTGTAGGAAACTCTTGTGGGACACTCTTGTGGCACACTCTTGTGGACACTCTTGTA